ATAACATGAATCCAAATAAAAAGGGGGTTTGAGTCTACCTCTTTTGAAAATCTTAAGGTTTGAACACTGTGTGTGTCTCCTTTACTTGAGTTTTTATTTGTGAACTATTCGATTTATGCTTGTGTGTATATATAAAAGAAAAATGAATGAAAATAATAAATTGTGAAGGTAAACGAGGACACGTGCAAGGAGAGTTTTAATAGTCTAGGACTTTGAGCTTATTTATCCTAATACGATTAATCATTAATTCAAACTCTTCCAATAAAGATTTGTTAGCATTAGGATAATATAAAATTAACTCAAATAATAACGGGTGTCTCAAACACATACGTGAATTCTACTGGTCAATTTCATCTCAAATAATAATGGAAGTCCCAAACTCACACGTGAATTCAACTGGCCAATTTCATTAACTAACGAATGAAATTCCTCATAAATTCAATAATCACTATTTTCTTTTATTTGCTCTCATTTGATTGTCCTTATCCAAATTGACTTTTTCTCGAACCTAGTATACATGATTAATTATAAGGCACTAAACGAGCCCAATATCGATAGTAATTCTCACAAATACAATAACATAATAATATATCTTGCGATATTGTGCATTTGATGGAAATTAAAATCTTATCTAAATCACGATTTATGTGACTACTAACCCTAATAAGATTAAATGACAAAACGTAACTTAAGAATATCATATTTTATCTCACAATATTTCAAAGGCAACAACTAACTAACATGGACTAGGCTATGCTAACGTACTAATTACATGGCCATTTAATGCACATAAATTGGGATAAATTGTAGCGACCCAAATTTTGTTCTTATAAAAATCTGGAGAAAAACTATCATTTAGATGTAAGTTTCGGTCGCAGTAGTAGGTGACTGCAACAATACAGATCAAAGAAGTTTACAATTAAGTATTAGGAACATCAATCAATTCAGAACGCAGGTCACATGAATACTGAAAATTTGCAACAACAACAACAACAACAAAAAAAAAAAAAGACATAATGGAGGCCAAATTGGGGCATAATTATTAGTTTTCAATAAATAGAACAATTAACACATATGAATTCATTGGATTGAACAATTTTCTGGTTCTTTGTTTAATGTCCATTTGAATTTTTAATTTCGTATCATTATTGATATAGTGATGGTCCAACTAGTCATGTCAAATAATAAAATCGAATTAAACTGCTGGTTCAATATAGTGTTTGTTTCAATTGTATCTCACATTTTAGAAATTTAGCATGTTTCTCTTAATTTAGTAGAGAATAATTATTATTGGTAATAAGATTTTATTCTCACACATAACGTTGGCTTGTCTCTTCTATAAAATTAAGACAATATTATTCTAGAATATTGATATATACCTAGTTATGATTATTCACAAGTAAAATAACAATATTTTTCAAGAATATTGATATATTTAAATTAATCACAATATTCTTTTAATATACTAATGTGTAAAATTTGTTCTTTTTTTAGGAATACAATACGATATTGTTCAAGAATACTAATTTGTATTATTTTTGCTTCTTCTGGGCCAATCTATCAATATTCCTTTAGAATATTGAAATTATAATGACATGCCCTTCAGAAGCAAATAATATTCTTTATGAAACATTTTCATAAGGTGGATCGTGTTTCCTTCTAGAACATCAATTCCATATTCATTTAATACAAATATAATTTCTAGTTGTGCTTTTTCAGGAACGCAAATTAAATCAAAATATTCAACTAATATAATATATAATAGAAATAGTAATACTTTTAAAGAGTATAATTTGAAAGTTTTAGAAAGCCTTAAATGGTTGACAAATTCCATATTCTTCAAAAGTAAAAATTATTAGAAAAAATTATAATACTCAAAAATTTTCTATTGTTCACATAACTATTTCTCACAAATGCACCACTGGATTTTGTTAGAAACTGTTAGATTTGAAACAAATGAGTTGTGGATGTTTTTCCAAATTTCATGACGATCAGACTACAACACTCTGAATTAGCAATATTTTATCACAGCGATACAAATTGTCCAAATTCTACAAATTTCTACATTGTTGATTTCGAAATAATAATACAATTCTTTCATAAAATATAGAGTCGCTATAGAATTAACGAACTTCGGGTTGGTGATAATGTCAATTTTACGGATGCGTAGCGCATGCTGAAAGAGAGTGCTAATAATTTTTCTTTTATATGCTTCTGGTCAGGTATAACAGAAGTATGAAGATATTCTATATTGTTCTTGCATCATTTCAATATGATATTCATTGTAATGAATATTTTAAAACTAAGCAAATTTCTTTTGAATATGCTAGAATAAAGTGCATCGTCTATATATAATTTTGTCTTATTTAATAAAACAATACGAGTCCTTCAAAGCCTTCAACAGCATTCGATGCACCTGATAGCATATTAATAAAGCCTTCAACAGCATTCGATGCACCTGATAGAATATTAATATTATTTTTCTGCTAATTTTAAATTTTAAGAAGTACTTTTATTTTGAAGAATTGTGTGCATTTACTAAACAGATATCTTGATAATCTTGTTTATATCTTATTAGTATTTCAAGATTTATGCTTTTTCAAAAGTTCTAATATGATATTATTTGAGAATATTAAAATATCGAATTGCATGCTCTTCTGGAGTGATTTCTTCTTGAATATTAATAAAATAAAATAAAAATGTTTTCATTTAAAATTACAATCAATATTGAATTGTTTAATTTGTATTTGTTTAAGGAACATAACGAGATAAAATTCTTTGAGAGGTGGCTACTTCGAGAAAATGTTATATTTTATTATTGCTTCTTTAAGAGTAATATGTCAATATTTTTCTAAGATATTGAATATTATAATTCATGCTTTCCAGGAGCAATCACATATTATTATTATAAATTACACAAGGAATTACTCTTCAGGAATAAAAATATAATTTATGTTAGATCGTATTTAATTATACTTTTTTGGAGAAGGTAAAATTTAACTTAAATATCAATATGTATATATGTATGCAGAAGAATGGATATATAAAGAAATGAAGTAATTTAATTCGTGATTTTACATAAAAATCGATCAATATTTTTATAAAATATTGAAATTATAATATCATACTTTCTTGAGCAACTAATATTCTTTTAGAATATTAATAATACTATGCAACTTCAGAAACACAAAAAATCTATTATTTATTAATATTAACTTCTCAGAGTATATTTTATAATAGAATATTAATTATTTGAAGAGTTGTGCTTCTTCAAAAGCAACAACATGATATATTATCAATTTAATGTTTATAAACAACATATAAAAATATTTAATCAGGTTAAAAGAAGTGAAGAGTGATCAGACCAATATAAAAAAAGGTACAATAATTGCTTAAATTAACCACTAGAAAAAATTATTATAATATTATTAATTGGAAGGCTTTAAAGATGCACATGTATGCACACCAAAAGCATACAATGGTAAGAAGCAAAGAAGTAGATAAGCGAGGCTTTGGTTAACTAGTTAAAGTTGAACGTGTATTACACGTTATTCTAAAATACTTTATAACTGATGTAAAAGTAATATTTGGAACCAATTTGCTGAAGGATTCGATGAGTCTCGGACGAATTAAAAAAAATAAAATTTAGCATAGAAATTTAATAGAAGAAAATTGCACAAAAATTGTATTCTCAAAAATCAATTTCTATAATTCAATTTTTTTGTAATATGAATTATTATAGATGAGTAATCTTTTTAGATTACATTTGATACATAAAAATTAATTGTTAATACATAAATTTAAACACTATTAACATTTCTAGATGCATGAATATAAATAAATTCATCTATAATTCAAGATCCATCAAGTGAAAATTCATTGAATCTAGGTTAATGTAAATGTAATTAATTTAGAGTTAATAACACAAATTTCATAAATAACAATAATTATGTAGTATTTATTACATATCAAAAAACGAAAAGTAAGATATTATTGAAATAATTAAATTATAAGAGGGTTAAAAAGGTCTAAAAAATGGTTCTCCCTTAATATGATATTATAATATATTATAGATTGGTATATTCGTAGACACCGGATATGCATTGGAAATAGAGAATTGAATGTGGAGGTTGAGATTAAATCCCCGTTTGGCTCATTATTTCAATTTAAAAATTTTGAATTAGTATTTTTTGAAAAATGTGTAGTTGAAAAAGAATGATTTTTTTTTATTTTACATGTAATATATATTTTTTTTATGAAAAATTATGTAGTTAAAAATAAAAGAGAAAAAAATTATAATTTGAAATAATGGGGCCTAAACGGGCTATAAATAACACGTGGATTGAAAATTTTGATTTCTCTACGAATTTTGAGATTGCAGACCATATAGTCCGCATCTAATAGAAGGCAGACCAAGAATCAATAGACCAAAATTCATAGATTGAAATCAAATCCAAACAATGAAGAAATAACGTGATTTAGCAGCGAAAAGAAATTATGCATATTATTAATTGCAAAAAATAGTTGTAGTAAATTTGTTATGATGCATATGTTTGTAGAAAAAATTTACATGTCATCGTATTAATTTCGATACACATGATAGATGATTATGCTTATAAAAAATATTGTCTTCTAATTAATTCACTTTAATTTTGAGAGACTCGTGCAAATAACATATTATAAACAAGAGAAAAAAGAAAGAGCAAAAAAAATAAAATAATAAACTAAGAGCCTGTTTGGGAATGATTTTTCCCTAAAAAATTGATTTTTTGACCGTTATTTCACTAATTCAATCGTCATATTTGACTTCTTCTCTTACAAGTGGATTCCACTTTTCTCTTAACGATCAAAAAATTAATTCTCAAAATTACTCCCAAACAGGCTCTAATAAATTTATGTATTTTATCAAGAATTAGAATAAAACAGTTATAATGACTAAAAGCTACGGAGATATAGAGAACATTCATAATTACTGGTATAATAATAGCACCTTAAAATATTTTGAATTTTCTTTAATGTTGATTAAAGGCCACAAAACTCTCTCTCTATCCCGGTTGTTTGTCCAAATTTCTCCTCCCCAGTCCAGTTGTTTGGCCAAATTCCTCAATATTTTATCAGAATACTGGGTCTAGAATCTTCTTCTTGCCTTTCTACTTTTCTCTCTCTGTGCATCTTTCTCTCGCTTGTAGGCGTGCCAAGCGTCCCTTGCCTTACTTCAATTAGGGGTCTTTTTCTCAACGATTTTATTAGGGTTTTCGCTTCTATAAAAGGTTTATTTCTTATTTTGAAAGTAAATATTTATGTTGAACTGTGGGGTTGTAATTTCGATTAGTCCTTTTTTTTTTCTTTTTTCTTTTTTTCAATTAGTGTAATGGTTTTTGTCTTCTGATAATCCCTGTCGTTTACGCATCCGTAATTTGCGAAATTTGACTGAATGTAGGGTTTTATTTGAAAATTTTTTCTTGAAACTTATAAGAATAATATTTTGGCTATTCTCGCAGTTATCAATTTTGAAGTCTCTTGCGGAGGTCAGAAGAAGCGATAATTGATGGAGGACTGGGGTAAATGCTTTTTTGTGAATCTTTTTAATTTTCGTTCCATTACTTTTTTTTCTAGATCTTGCATATTGCTATCTTGATTTTCTCTATAAATATCAGTCTTGTTAATCGGGTTTTATTATTATTATTATTATTATTATTATTATTATTATTATTTTTGTGCATGTAAATTGGGAAATGGTATTGGTTTTTAGGGGGAAGAAAGATTATTACTTTTGAGTTTAATATTCCCAGTTCCAATCCCAATCTCCTTATATAATAGAACATGATGTTGATCCAATCTTTTTTATAATTACTTCTGGCTTTTATTAGTATGCCATGATCTATTAGTTTCTTGTGTTGTACATTGAAATTAATGTTTACTAGCTCTATTTTTCATGGAAGATTGAAATCTTAACTTGACACTGTAAATTTTTAGTTTTCCATAGTTTTTATTTTTATTTTTTCTCGTGATTGCGCTTTCCTGACTTTTTAGTTTTAATTGGAGAGCTGATAGACATCCTTTTAGGTGTCCCTGGACTAAGGTGATGGCAATTTTTTTTCCATTATGTCAATTTAAGTCCCTTTACCTTTTGTGTGGTGTTCAGAAAGTGCATAATCAAACATGTTACATCTCGTTTGGCAAATAAGTAAAGCCTTTAGACTACATGCTTTCATGTTTTTGCGATGAAGATCTTATAGGATTTTATTTTCCTTGGGTGTATTGGCTACTACAAGGTTCATTTTTTTCTTTAAGTGCACTTTGAAGTATATGTTTGGTGGATTCTAATCATCTTGTTTTGTGTTTCAGAGGAGGAGCCTATTACAGATCTTATGAAAAAGGAGCAACTGAAGAGTAAATGGGATGATGAAGATTTGGATGATAATGATGTGAAGGAATCTTGGGAAGATGAAGAAGAGCCTACTCCTGTATGATTTTTGATGCTTCATTTGTTTTACTCAATATTTACAAAGGCATAAACTAGTATTGAGACCTTTTTTCTTTCGTTAGGCAAGACGTAATCCTCTTGGCGGTTGGAGTCATAAGCCTCACAATAATCCCCAAAACATCAGAAAATTATTAAATTGCCATATAAACTCGTAATACATCGTAAACAATATTCAAAATTTATAATAAAATAATTTTAAGCGTGCAAACACTTAAAAGAAAAATCTATAAGGAAACTATTATTGAAGTTAGCTGGTGCAGTAGACTATTTTCAAAGTGGGTCTACGAGAAATATTTTGATGTTTTAATGGGTAGTGGACTACTTTCGGTATGGATCAGTAAAAACTTTTATGGTTTATGGGCCACAAACCTTGAGGTGGTGCTGTGAGGAGTATGCCTCCAAACTACCTCAGCCTTGAGGCATTTTCGTCACTCCTCACTTTGAGGCGGGCTCAATCGGTTCTTTTTTTTTTTATTTTTATATCAAATGATTTTACTTAACTAGCCCTATGGTAAAGTTTTGCTCTGAATAAGATACTTATTTGAATTTAGGTTATGACTGACTTATTTACGTTGTCCTTTTTGTTTTCATTGGTTGATTAACTATGTTAAGAAATGTATATGATTTTATTTCATCATTGTGCTCGGCACATGCTCCTCACTGTCGAGTGATGAGACTAACATATGGTGTTAAGAAATGTATATGATTTTATTTCATCATTGTGCTCGGCACATGCTCCTCACTGTCGAGTGATGAGACTAACATACGGTTTTAAGTTTTTGATTGCAAGTTTAAGGTTTGTAGCTTTTCCGAATATTTTCCTGCTTCACCGTAATTTTACCATTAGTATCATGGAAAGCGTTCTGACCTGATGAAGTCTAGACAACACCCTCTCATTTGGTGCCAATCCACAATATAATTGTTTGGTGCTTGAAGCAATTTAAGATAATTTATGATTTATGAATTAACTTGTGTATTCAAAAATTAAATATTCTTTTCTATACTGTTTATTTTACATTCTATTATTTTCTTTCACCTTCCTCTTGAAACATCCACACATAGGCACAATAGCATTATAGCGATAGGAGCTTTGTCAATGTTCTTAATGCCATCTTGTAAAGGCTTGCATTGTAGAATATCTGGTTAAAGCTAGGGACCAAATACTGAGAAACGAAGTTATGCCATAAACTTGAGAACATGCTCATTTTTATTCGTGGTATAGGTATTTTATTTGTGTTTTGCCTCAGTAAAACTGTAGTTATAACATTGAGCTTTCAAAGCTTGACTTTTGAGCATCAAGCTTTAAGACGTTATATCTAGTAGCCAAATCTTTCTAGATCTCAGTTAAAAGTGCAAGGGTTATGCCCTAAGCCCAGTATCTTTCACTTCACCTTGTGAGGCCCAAAATTTCTTGCCTTTGGTTTTGCAGCTGATATGGAATTTATTCTAACCTGTTGTATTGAATTTTGATTTTCTTTCACTGGGTGATGTGGTCAGGCACCTAAAGTAGAGCTACCTCCTGTCAAGGCCCCTAAGAAGGCTGCAGCCAAGTCAGGTGAAAAGAAAGAGAGATTAGTTGAAGATGAAAAGGAGGCACCATTAGATCCTATAGAAGAAAAACTCCGTCAGCAGAGGTATTTTTAAAACTGTCGTCACAATCCTTCACTAGTTCTTTGTTCGAACTGTACTCGATGGCTTGTCCCAGAAAATTATTGGAATTTAGGCTTCTTATCTTATTGTCTATGTGAGACTGGGTTGTTTGAAATGGTGGTATTCACGCTTAAGTCATTTGTTTCTGCTTCTGCTTCTGCTTCTGCTTCTGTCATTTATGAAAGGAAATGGAGGGGGAAGCATAAATTTTTGAGATGGCTTTGCAGAACTTTTTAAAATATCTTTCTGAAACCTTTTAATGCAATCTCTAATTCTAACATAGCCTGCAACATGTTTTGCGATGAATTCTGTTGTCTTTTGTTACAACATCTGCCAGCAGATTGCTCCAGCAGAAAAGCTGTGTACCAAATTTAATTTTTAATGTGAACATTACTTGATATGCTTGGTTGACAATTTGATGTGAATCTTGTCACACTTATTGTTGTTCTTCCCTATATTCCTACATCTTTACTTACCTGTACTTATTCCTCCTTTTTAATGTTTCACAGGCTTGTGGAAGAAGCTGATTACAAGGCTACTACAGAATTATTTGCTAAAAAGGGTGACGAGAAGACTCTTGATAATTTCATTCCAAAAACTGAAAACGACTTCTTAGAATATGCTGAACTTGTTGCTCATAAGCTTCGTCCATATGAGGTTTTATCAGATTTGACTTGTCTGTCTGTGTTAATTTGCTTATTTTGTTCATGCAGAGGTATAACACGACTCTTTTTATTGCAGAAAAGCTTTCATTATATTGGATTGCTCAAGGCTGTAATGAGATTGTCATTGACTAGTTTGAAAGGGTCAGATGCCAAAGAAGTTGCCTCTTCGGTGACTGCAATTGCAAATGAAAAGATAAAAGCAGAGAAAGAAGCCAATGCTACCAAAAAGAAGACTGGTATATTTGTTGTATCTTTTTTCTTTTGTGTCAACAAGTTATAGTTGTCCTCATGGATGAGTTTTTAACAAGTGGCAGCGTGTTTTTTGCAGGTGGAAAGAAGAAACAACTGCATATTGGCAAGCCTGATGATGATGTGGTTGGTGGTGGTGGTGGTGGATATGATGAATATGACGATTACGATTTTATGTGAGCAGGCATTTTGGTTAATGGTAATTTATGCATAAGCAGTTTGCGTTATTAGAGTGCTATACCTTGGAAATTCGCATTTATAAAGTCGTGTGATTTAAGAGGATCATCTCGCGGCCTGTTCTCTCCCAATTAGGAGATGGATCGAGTTTTGAGTGTCAGTTTTTTGTTGACTAAGAACATCTAAATTTTTCCGTTCAATTTTGTGCTTCTCATGGAACTTAGAATCCATCTTTTGATGATTTTGTTGGTGGGATTATCTGTACTCATTTATGGATTTAAGATTCTGAACATGAACTGTAAGATTTTGGGTGAATAAAGAGCCGCGCCAGAGCTTGGAGGAGTGTGGCAATGCCAATGGCTCCATGAAACTTGCACGTCTCTATAATTGGGCAATTGGGCAATTTTAGTTTTAGGGAGGCCAAAATGGTAATATTAAGGTGAATTTCTGAATGCCTTTTAACTTTTATGGCTTTGTAATAGATGAAGTTATTAGTTGTTGAGATTATTATCACAATTTTCAAATACATTTTTATGCTTTTCATAGAGTTTAGTAGAGGTTGAAACATTATATTAATACATTTGATATGAATACCGGGTTAGAGGTTGAATCTGTGATACACATCTTCATCTGGATTTATCGGAAATTATGGTTGGAGATATAACTTGGAAATTGTAGGGATTGCAAAAAAATCATTTCAACCTCTTATTCTCGGGGTTCCATCCCGAATGAGGTGGTTGGGCAAATGGGGTTGGGCAAGGTGGGATGGGAGTCGTCATCAAGAAGCAGGTATGGTCTTTGTTTTGCTACTTGTCTCATTTAAAGTTAATTTCAAATTTAGTTTTTTTTTATCAAAGAGGACACTTAACGTCTTTTTTAAAAAGAACATCATTTATTCTTAATAAGAGCTCGTGCGGGAATGATTTTTCCCTCTCAAAAATTGATTTTTTAATCGTTATTTCTATATTTCAGTCATCATATTTGACTTCTTCTTTCATAGATAGATCCTACTTTTCTCTTAACGGTCAAAAAATCAATTCTCAAAATTATTCCCAAACAGGCTCTAAATTGGGGGAAAAATAAAAATAAAATAAATAAGCGGGTAAAATAAACGGAATTGGGAACCTGACATGCCCTTACTCGAACCCGTTTTAATTGGATATGAGACCGAGGCAAAGTAACACAATTACCCAACGGGGCGGGAGACAAGAATGGTTGACCCGCACATTCATTTTTAAGAAAATTTTTATTTCGTATTTCAATTTTTTGCCAGTTATACTTCTAAAATTTGAATTAATTTTCTGAAAGGTCGTTTTATATCGCTGCAAAAATAATAATTTACTTATTTTAAATTTAATCGATTAAAAAAAGTTATTTTTCTTAAACTTGTAAAAGTTTTAGCATAGCCAAACAAATTTTGCTGATTGTACACAGCTCGGTGTACAGTCCTCTCACAAAAGAGGAGGAACCACATTCAATAAAAAATCGTGGGGCCTCCTTCTTGTGAGAGGGGATTGTGCACCAAGCTGTCACGAGTAGCAACGTCCTAGCCAAACTGATGCTTATTCTATAAACAATGTTGCTACTCGTGCAGAAGCCTTTGGCAGATGATGTGGAAAATTTTGTTGGGGAGGGGGGGAGTAAAGGAAACAGAACCGCTGTATTGAAATCTGGCTCATATTCATTCCCGTTTCACATCCATTTTTTCCCAAATCCATCGTCTCTCCGCCCTCTCTTCTCCAACTCTGACGAGGAACTCAACGACCTCGTCAAAATCCACTTTGTCCATTTGAGCGGCTATCGATTTGTGAACCGTTCGGCCGATTTTTACTCATTCAAAATCGCAACCACCGTCTGCTCGGAGAAAAATTTGGTGAGCATGATATTTGGTGTACGTTGATGTCTTGAAGCTGCTGAGTGTATGTGTATTTACGTATAGTTTTGACCAATTTGTATATTTATTGATTTTCAGTTAGAACCCTTATATGAGGTTCTATATACCCAATGCATATGATTTTGAAGTTAGAACCACTCTTTGAGCCATTCTTCAGCTTTTGTGTATGTGTTTGATTTTGATGTTAGGACCCGTTTGAGCCATTTTTTAGCTTTCTTGTATCGACTATGTAATGAAGTTTCATATTTGTGAAGGTTCAATATTGCATGAAGCAATAGGTATTCAACGTTGTTTTGTGTACTAAATTGAGGTGTGTAGTAGTGGTCTTCAATGTGTTTACCCAATGTTCGAGAGTGTCTACCGACTAACTTTTGAATGTGTTTAACGCAACTTACAATGGCTAGACAGAACGATGGAGTCTGTCATGACTGTAGACGAAGCAATCACTTCTTTGTGTACCGTCGAAATAAACTCAGCTGCCCGTGGCATAAACATGCATTTGTGAAGTGTTTTGCGGTGGTGAAGAATGTGTTTGATTGGAATGGAAACTATCACATAGAAAAGAAAATATTTTCCTTGTTTTGAGAAAGACAAAAGCTTACTCCCTCAAAGAAAATATTTTCCTTAAAACTAAGGAAAATTAGGTATATTTTCAAAAATTGGAAAATATTTTCAATGGAAAAAAATAGCAATCAAACACTCTAAAGTAAGAATTTGAGTGAAAAAATGATATTTTCCATGAAAAATATATGCAATCAAACACTCCCTAAAAAACAAAGATAAATTGTTAAAGTGCTACAGCAAGAAAAGGGAATTTTGGGGGTGGGTCAAAGAGGGTGAAAAGAGCGATGAATCAAGTTCTGTTGGCATTACCTCAACTAATATTATGGCGACTGAATTAGAGAATAATGTCTCTTGTATGTTCAAAACTATGTGCTGGTTAAGTCACGAAAAAGATGTGGAAATAACTGTGACAATTTGCAAAGGAAATGCAAGTGCGGAATGGGATAAGAAAGGAAAGGGGCGGGCGTCATTTATAGTTTTCGTCTAATGACGTTGTTATTTTACTTAATGTCAGTGTTGACATACTCTGTTTTTGATTGTTAATGTAATTTGAATTATCGTTGGACTTCGATGTCGTCATTAATTTACATTGATGTTCGATTTAGTTTTGTAGTCTTCCAGCTCTGCTTTCGTTGTCTACGACAGGTTCGCCAATGTAGCAAAAGACTAGCCCAGCTTGTCGTACCTCAATTGTCCTAGAGTAATAATCAACCCATCGTAATTAACTGTGACTCTCGTGTGGGCTCTACTCACATCTCTCCGCTACTTCCGTAGTACTTGTTTAACAAATTAGGCCGCAATCCGCTAAAACAAATTTGCTTACTACATGCATACTAAAGTCTTATTATATAGTGCAAAGTAATTGGAGATGGTAAATTTGGTGAAAAGTTAACAATAATTAGTAACTTAGCTAATTTTAAGAAATTATACAATGCTTTGGATGACATCCATAGACAGAAGTTGCGTCTATCTTGCTTTGTTAATTCTATAACACAAGCTACATGCAAATTTCATTATTGCTAAGGATGATTAGGTCAATCAATCGGTATGAATCGTGTTTTAGTTTGGAGAATGAAAAGGCAGCTAAGTTTTCCTTTTACGGATTACACTCGTTACAGGATTGAACCCTGAAGATGAAAAAATGTACAAAGGAATATCTACTTGCAACAAAATATTAGTAAATAATTATTTTGGAAAACTACTTGTTGGGAATTTACTTATATATATGCACAACGAAATTTAAAATAATTTCAACTCCCATCGAAAATCTTCTTTATGTTTAGATAGAAAATGTAATAAGAATTATACTTTTAGTAAATTTTTAAAACTTCTTTGGCGATCTAGGAACAAGAACAATTACGATCTCAGTACACCACAACTGTATAATTGTCTAATCTCCTGTGATAATTCACACAAGATGGATGCGTTAAGGATGGACATGCGAGTGGTGGGGGCATCATTGGGACCACACTGGACATTGCATGAGGGCATTCTCAGCATCGTATGGCCCATGCTTGATTCTGGAAGCCAAGCTCAGAGCTATACTGGATGGGATCCTATTGGCCAAAGGACTTGGACTTTCACGCTTTTGGATTGAGTCAGACTCTAGTATAACCATTCATTGCATCACCAGAGGTGGAGGACCATGAGTTATTCAGGGCTTTCTCAGACAGATCATAGACATCATCTCCTTAGACAGAGATAGGATTTCTCACATCTACAGAGAAGGTAACCAAGTTGCTGATGTACTTGCCTAGGAGGGTTGGGACTATAGGAGTTATGAGGTTTATACACCAACTGTTCTTCTATGACATATTAGGGCATTTGTACAGATTGACAGATATGGCCTACCCAACGTTCGATTTTGATTTTTTTTATATTTTACTTTTGTTTGCATTAGCTCGCATTGTAATGGAAGTAATACTTCCTCATTTAATGTTTGCATTGATTGCTATCTCATATGTAACCACGGTATTCCTCTTCCACAAGTGAGGGCATATCAATAAAACTAATGGAGGTACCACCCTTCTTCAACTAAAAAAAAGGGTAGGACCTACCCATTAAACATGTCGGCCTAATAGTTAATTAATCTAATTAATTAAACTTGGCACATAAGTTAAACTTAGGTCTATTAATAAGCAACCCAATTAATTAATTATACAAATATCTAACACTTGTGTATTAATGAATTAGTAATATCATTCTTCTAGTTCTCCTTTTTATGTATGACTCGTTAGGTTTTCGATCACGATACCTAACAACGTGAACAATTATTTTGATCTAATCAAAATATGATACATTAAAATACCCTTTTTAATTTATCATTAATACACATTTGTCGTCCCAAATTAACATCAGCAATTTGTCAGAGAAATACATGTGAAAGAAAGTGTCATGTGGTATGATAAAATCAAACTTGTTTATCAACTGTGAAACTTTAATATCATCGTTAATATGATCTAATCAATTATGAGATATGGATGTCTGTCAATCTCGATTATTGATCATATCTTTCATTCCACTCTTAAATCAATAATAGTTGAAAAGTTTTTTTTACTTATGAATACACATTGGCTAATGATTTCGTTATCAACTTAACTGAATAAAATGTAGATCGATATCTAAAAGAAATGAATTCTCCATTGATCATTCACAATTTTCATATGATTCTTGGTATACCCAAACAATGTCGTATTAGTGACCCTCAATAGAGTAATATTCAATATAACAAAATTATGATTGTCTTCCTCAATGATGACATCAAGTCAAATGACCAATTTCACTACCAAACATTAGATAATAACCACTAATCCTCATATAGTTATTCACGTGGAATCTCTTCAGTAGGTTTTTAATGTTTTGTTCTTATAACAAAATATCCATGTGTCCTTTTAAATGTTACTACATTTCAGCTCGAGAAATTAACTACTCACTTCATAAGCGAGAAATGCCCCACTTGTTGGACTAACTGTAATAACGATATCCATATTTCATTATTATTTACGGCTACGGATCATTTAAGATTCAGTCATGTATGTAACATATTTCTCAATATCACTACTTCTTGTGATTTACAAGTTACTAAGACTTGAATCTATAAAATATATTAATATAATTTATTAAAATTAT